AGCGACGACTGATAACAAGAATACACACATTGACCTGATCCTGACTCGGTGTAGAAGCGACGACTGATAACAAGAATACACACATTGACCTGATCCTGACTCGATCTAGAAGCGACGAGTGATAACAAGAATACACACATTGACCTGATCCTGACTCGGTGTAGAAGCGACGACTGATAACAAGAATACACACACAATGACCTGATCCTGACTCGATCTAGAAGCGACGACTGATAACAAGAATACACACATTGACCTGATCCTGACTCGGTGTAGAAGCGACGAGTGATAACAAGAATACACACATTGACCTGATCCTGACTCGGTGTAGAAGCGACGACTGATAACAAGAATACACACATTGACCTGATCCTGACTCGATCGTCGTCGCTTCTACACCGAGTTGTGTATTCTTGTTATCACAATGACCTGATCCTGACTCGGTGTAGAAGCGACGACTGATAACAAGAATACACACGTACACTCACTCTCTCTCTCTCTCTCACACACACACACTGTATTACATTCAGCACTGTTCCTGTGATACCTTATCTTGTCGAATTTCCTGTTTAGTGGACTTATTTAATATAACTTTTAAGTTGGTTCAGTTCACCTAAATAGATCATAGTTACAAGTAACGTCTTTTACTTGTGGTTTATCTGTCTTTTTTATTTGTTCCATTATTACTTATCGATTGTAAAAGTCATCCTGATTGTAAATTAAATCCTCTGTTCTTTGTCTAAGATTGATTCACTTCATCATAGACAAAATATGGGTTGTAACAGACAGCAGCACGTCATTGATTGTAGATTAAGTCCTGTAGACTTTGGCCAAGTAATATTATCGGCAAAAAACCCATTCCACATAACACATGTTATCAGTCACACGCATGTGACTAGGGATGAACTACTTACATAATTTTTATTTCACATAAAGAAAGTACTATCTTGTAGTTCTCATAACTTGTAAAAACAAACAGAAACGTTTGCTGTGTTTCACGCATGCACAGGAGTGTTAATTCCCACTATATTGAAATTATAATTCAAATATTTTTGTAGTTGTTCTTTTCCGGAAGCGTAAGGATTAATTATACGGTTCACAAGGGTCTGAGGTCAACTTGGCAGTATCCAAGCAGCAGCGCTTCTAAATAAAATAACAATAATTTATCAACGACTGTACACCATGTGCCTCAGACCGATATTTTGTCAGTGAGTATAAAGCTAATATCTTTTCTGACAGATTGTTACTATCCGATCCCATGATTACTCGTACAGTTCTTATGACTTAAGTCTGTGGAGTTAATTACTTACCCTGAAGGGGGGACTATAATTGATGGTTTTCTATTCCACACCGGGTATTGACTGTGTTATGGTCTTGTTTTGGTTATCACCCCTAGCAACTGCTGTGAATCGTGACGGAAAGAAATCGACTTTTTTATGATAATGAGGGGTGTTCGTTAGGATTATTCACATGCGAGGAGAAAGTACTAATTAACCTAGAGACAAGATAGCTGTTTTCATAAGTACTTTTCGTCACTTTATTCTAAAACAACGTATTTACTTTCTTCTCGTCACTATCTCTACATTCTTCTACTTGGGGTGATGTTCGTATAGACTTTAACATTTCGTCTCGAAAGGTAACATCTTAAACTTTGCCTTTCTTGGTAGAGATTTCGTGGAAGCTGGAACAACCATTCCCACGAGATATACGTGTTCTTTATATGGAAAATCGAAACAAATCCCGACTTACAAGAACCATATAAACTTTTAACCTGCTGTTCTTGTATTCAAAAAAAATGTTTGTTGTTAATCACGAGATTACACGATGGGCTATCTGTGCTGTGCCCATCAGTGGTATCTAAACCCAGTTTTTAGCTGTGTGAGCCCTTAGATTTACCCCTGAGCCATTGGAGGGGAAACAGGAAGTTCTTTCATCGTTTCGCATTGTTACATCACGGTTAACACTAACAGCTGTGTTTTAGTTTTAAAAAACAAAACTGAAACCAACAGGGATGTTTGCCACGTGAGTCTTGGTATATGTTCTACTGGTGTACAAGCGTAACTGGCAGTAAGACTGTGTGACATAATTACAATGGTTATTTGTGCGAAACCAGCAGCTGATATTATTATGAGTGAATGTCGATCGTATCATCAATCAGTGCTTGAAGTTATTATAGTATTTATCTTTCAATTGAGACGAACGTAGCACAGCCAGTATGTGTTTTCTGCACCGATCTCGGTTAAAACGAAAAAAAAAAACTTTCCACCAACTTAATCATGCTATAAGCTCAAGAGAATATACACAAGTATATGAAGCTTTCTTTTTTTGAACGTTTTGCGCTTTTTTTTAAACTCTAGACTGGTTATTCGACATATAAGAAATATGACAACATTTCATTGACTCCTACTGATTATTTTTGTAAGTCTTAATATTGCGTTTCGGACTTCAAATTTGGATCCATTAACAAGTTTTGAGAAGGTCAAGGCAGTAGATTATATCTCCGAAAACCGCATAGAGGGGTCACCTGTTTTAACCACTCTTACCACTATACACTACTGTGTTGTCTGTCACTCAGTCAGTAGACACTAAAAGGACGTCACACAAGGAACACTTAACGTTGCAATTTCTACTGTCGTGACATCAGTAAAACGTGTGCATGTTATGAATCATGAGAAGAATTGTGCACTTTGTAGGCTACAACACAGCATGACATGCGAACTTCAAAAGCAAGAACTAAAAATATTTGTTACTCTTGATTTTAGTTATATATATGTGTATGTGATGTGAAAACATTTACTGTGACGTGAACATTATGTAAACACCCCCTGATAAAAGTAAAGCTTCTTTATTTTTCGTTCCATCTCCTGTACAATGTGACGTTCATCCACTGACGTCACTATCACAGTTGATAAAAGGGAATTCTATCATGATCTAATGACAAGCGACCCCTGTAGATATATATATATATCACTTGATATTTTCACACATCTTGAAAATGTGATTTCTGGTGGTTTTGCGCGTGTATATAAATCCGAAACGTCTGCATCATCATTTTTGTTTTAGGTTTAAAACACTAAATATTAACTGTCCAGTAGTTCAGCGATATATAGGAAGGCTTATTAACGCTAAAAAACCAGGTTCGATACCAGAGGTGGACACAGCACAGACAGCCCATTGTGTGGCTTTGTGTTTAATAACAAACAAGTGCTAATTATGAATAGGGTCTAAAGATCAGCGTGCTGGGCTGCGGATCAAAATTTCCCAGGTTTAAGCTCCTCACTCTCATCTACCAGGATGTTATAACTGTGACAATCAACTTCGTTATTCGTTTAACAGTAGCCTCATAGTTAGAGGGTGCTACTGACTGGTTGAACTGATTGGTCAGTCGTTCTAAATTAGAGATGGCTATGCTTGAATCTTGGTTTTTGACTCAGCCATTTATTTAGGGTACGTGTCGCATAAGGTGAAAAATACACCAAATATAAATACTAAGAGGAAGGTTTGTGGCTGTAATATATTCAACAGAATAAATAGTACAGCCTAGCTTGTGATCAAGCTAAAGGTCTTAAAACTAAAACTAACCATGGATCTGAGGGCCCATCGCTCACGTCACATTACCAGCGTGGATGCGTTATAAGCATCACAGTCAGATTTCAGTAATCAGTCGGACAAGACTATTGTCGTTGAATGGCTGACTTGTCTCTAGTCTAGTCCATTTGAGCAAACATCCAACACGAACTTAACACGATGAAACAAATTTAGATCAAGAAAACTGAAACCCGATATGTTGTCAATATTAAATTACGTTACACATATAATTCATGGTTGTTCTTAACAGGTTAAAAAAAACAGAATTAAAAAAAACACGCATTATGGATTGCAACCACTATAAAAACGTATGTTTTATGTTTACTAAATTTAACTAAAAGCGACTTTCAAACTGAATTCTTAATTACGATGACATTGTATATGTTTTGATTTGTTATGCTATCTGTGCCCACTGCTGGTATCGAACCCCGATTTTTTGCGTAATAAGTTATCAGACTAGCCGCTGAGCCACCGAGAAAGAGAAAGCTAATTGAATGTTTTATACGAATGTTAATAACTCTGACAATAACTTATTGTTTGTTGTTGTTGTTGTTGTTTTTTGCAGGAGTTCTTTAGATTCGTACAATATTCAGGTTTCGCGGTGCTTCTGGTTTTGGCTTTCTTCAGTGAGCTCAACCTTCATATTGTAAGTATGATTTATACGTATCTTTTACTGGACATCTCTGTAAATGATACATGATTCAAAATGTATTACGTAAATGATTAACGTTTCGACCGAAACGGCCACCTTCACCCAACAACTCGTTAAACCCACGGTTACGTATTTTGAGACAAAAAATATTCCCCATATATAAATTATTGTATTTAAATGACGTGGTTTGGTTTTCCTTTTTTTTTAACGCTAACTTTGATAGGTCATTCGCTTTTATAGTGTTATTGTACATCAACTGTCTTAGTTTTTACTACTCAACTAATTTAAAACAGATTGTAATATTGATGTGAAAACATCTGTTGTTTTGTTTGTTTAGTTCTATTAATTTAAATATTTAATTTTAAATTTACATAGTTTTAGCATTTGTAACTCTCTTTTGATATTTCGTACTTGTAGGAATATTTTTATTATTTAATATTTTAAAATGTATTTAGCTGTTTAACATGTTAATATTTTTAAAGATTTTTTTTTTTCGTGAGATAGTTATTTTTGGAAAGAAACTGATACCTAAGATTCCATAATAAACCAGTGGTCTAGGAAGGTTTGTTTGTTTGTTTGTTTTTAATTTTGCACAAAGCTACACAAGGGCTATCTGGGCTCTGCCCACCACGGGTATCGAAACCCGGTTTCTAGCGTTGTAAGTCCGCAGACATACCGCTGTGCCACTGGGGGGCAGGTCTAGGAAGGAGTTACGAAATGGGTGGGCTTGACTAGACATGCAGATTTTACAATGAGAGATTGATAGTATAAGGAGTTGCTGAAAGTAGCTCAATCTAGGGGGGGTTAGGGGCATGTCCCACCAGAATATTAATATAATAATATAGGTTACAGTTGCTATATAAATCAAATATGTAATACAACACTTCCCAACACACCTTGTTCCGACGCCTCTATAAACTGTTTGCACTATTTTATATATATATTTTTTAAAGAACACTTGTCCGCAGTTATTATCACGTAAACTTCAACTATATGTGAACGATAATAACTGGCCGTAAGAAAAAGTCATCTCTCAAAAGCATTGATTGTTTTTACACAATCGCTATATTATTTTACACGTAAAATACAGTCAAACATTCACCAATAATCACGTGGAGGTTGGTGTATTATACTTTATACAAGCTTCTCGTAATATTTTTGTTGATCATTATTACTATTCGAACTAAAACGACCAACGTTGAGAGATTTGATATTTTTATTTAGTGGATCGGGTCATTAGTCTCACGCGATATATTAAATATTAGAACTAAATCAATAACTGTCACGTGAGTAGAATAATAGACATCACAAATAAGGCTGTTCCATGAGAAAAACCACCCGTGCACATATATTAAATGGATTTAGTAATAATTTTATATATTTTAGTTTCAGTATCTTGGGGACGAAGAATGCTTCGAAGAAAGAAATACGTCTAATGTTTAAATTATGTTCTCCAACATCCGATAATAACAAACGTATGTTACTTGTTTATTACAGATTGTTAATAACCTTTCTAAGTTCTGGAAAATATTTCTTGTTTTTTTCGTACAAACCAGCCACTAGGTTAGAAATTCCCCAAATTACTAGAGAGAGGAAGGTCATGGCTGCTTTTTTTTTGGTCACCAAACTCCGCATGTCAGTCATTGTGACTGGACATTAAGCCTAAGAGACAACAGTTTTAACTGTGGAAATGGAATTCGTATTGAAGTTTTCCACCTGAACACATGAGCAAGTGAGGCTAAACAGACGGGTCAGAGGTATAGTCGTCTCTAATGTTAAACTACTGGCCAGTGTAAGTTATCGTGAGAAGAAAATTAATTAAAGCTCTATGAATATAAGAAAAGTTAAGCAAGTATGGGCAGACTGAGTTAACTTCCACAAGATGGCGTTATGTTCTCATTTTGTTACTGCGTAATTATTATGTATATATATATATATATGTATATATCAGTGTATCATAGGTTAGAAACCTGTTATGTTGTTGAAATATGCCACGCCCCCTCTAGTAGCGTGTGCGAAGTTCAGTTCGCCTACAGTACAGACTTACAACGTCTGGGGTTCGATACCGTGGTGAGCATAGCAAAGGTAGCACGTTGTGTACCTTTCTGCTTAAACTTAATGGACCCGAGCAACGTGTTACGTTTTCTGAAAATATTCGATATGTTAATAAGCACGAGGATTTCGTTCACGTTTATCGTATCAAGAATAATATTAAATGATTATTAACATAGTAGATTGGTAAATAGATGTACGTTGAAAGTGGGTGCATCATTACTAGACAACTATAACTATTGTTAACTAAAAGAGACGTTACTATGCTTATAAATAAGGTATTTTCCTCCATTTTTCCTTGCAGATGATGAGCTCTCTAATGCAGACCAGCTGATTATCACGTGCCGAATCCCCCTCGCGAACTTTCAACGTTTGTGTTTTCGTCTACTTTTGCCAGTCTCGTTGATAAGAGATAAGTTACAGTACAAAGAGAATGAATTCTTAAGAGTGACACCTGTTTTTCTGTGAATATTTTTAACCTCTAATATTACGGTTTTAAATTCCAAAAGCCAGCGAAGTAATAGGCCTAATATAAGTGATATAACTCATACAAAATTGCATTTATGCTGGTCCACATTATTCTTAACTGGCCCATTAGGGATTTCAGACAAGAGGTGTGTAAATATAGCATTAAGTTTAGATAAGTAAGGAGAATGTGGATATAAAGATATGCACGTAGTGTGATTTTAATTACATTTTTTATTAATAAATTCATATTATTAAGCCTATTGCTAGCCTCTGCTTTTGTTAGTTTTCTATGATAAGTGGGCAACAGTTTGGACTTTACTGTGAGGCGTCCATTGGTCCAACTGGAAACGTTGGAAAAGAAGAAGGAGGAGGCTGAAGATGACACCAAAAACCACTGTCAACTGTAATATGAACGTGCATTTAACAATACGAACGTTTCTTTTTCGATATGCTATCAAATCAAAATATTATTATTATATAACTCGATCTATATCAATGTAGTTATCATAATAGGTTTTGGTGTCTAAAGTAAAGTTTTCTGATGTTAAAAGAATCAAAAAGCCAACTGAAATTTATTACAAAGAAGGGTAAAATATAAGATTTTTTTGCTGTTGTTTAGGTCTGTGATTATATTTATTTATTTACGTGCCTATATGAATTGGGACTGGTGTTATTTTCAGTAGTAATAAATCCGAATATTTTGAATAAAACTGGAAACAATAGCGCTCTTCAGTGGCCTGGTAAGAAATGTGTAAAACAAGTCTTAACATTTTGTCATCTTTTCTATTCGACCATCCAATTTTAGGGTATTTTGTATCAGCCACAAATTTTTATACTCGAGTGCCTTGATCCTGACAGCAACTCTAAAGGGTGAAGGTGTTTGGTGACGGAGATTCAAACCCGCAAATTGCGAGTTCAGCGCCCTAGCCACCAGGCCAGTCTTAAAATTTTGTTTTCTTCCAATTATTCAAGGAAGTTTTTGGTATCAAATAATATATATTTTTAATGATCATAGTTGATAAATATGTGTGTGTGTAAAAAAAAAAAAGTCACGTTTGGTTACAACATTAGTAAAACCTGACCGATTTTAACACTAGGATATGTTTGTATATGATTTATTTTGTTACAGCTGTCTGTCTGTTCGTCATCCTCTAACGTTTCTTGAACACAACTCTCAATTGATCCCGTCCTACTGCCGTGAAATTGCACAACCCACATTGAGTTGGTGGCGGGTGGTGTTGATTAACTGCTTTCCTTCTAGTCAATCAGTTAAAAATTAACTACGGATCTTTGCAGATAGACCTCGTGTAGCTTTGCGCGAAACTTCTAAATGAAAAGACTCACGTAATTTGCAAGGCAGCTCTAGCGCAGTCGTACTTGTACTATAACATCATCAGGTGTTCAGAAGTCTGGGTGTCGAAGTTTGATAAGTAACATTTATCATTGAAGATACATTCATTACATTAGCTATCCCGCCAGTAGCGTCTTTAAACAGCTTCTTGATAGAATGGGTGCTACATATGTGAGACTTCTCGGCGGTGATTCTGTGACAGCGAATATTACTCTTAACTTCCTCTTCCCAATTCCCTCGTCAGATGTTCATGGTAACATAAGGTTATATTGTGTATGTGCTAATTTGAGGGATTTAGAAAAAATCCCAAGTGATTTTTTTTTCCTAATAGACAGAAAAAAAAATCTCCCACCATCCATTATTTTGTCTGTTTGATTACATAAGAGACGATGTTAAGTTCGCTTTTTGAAGCTGTAAAAGTTTTATTTAACGTGCCTTGGAATTATTTTGTGTTGTGACAAGCTGTACAGAAATGGTTGAATTCGTTTTGTGGCGAAATCGCAGATTCAAAAAAAAATTTTGTTTGTTTGTGTGAATTTGTATATTTTTGTTTGTCTGTTGTTATAAGCACAAAACTTCCCAAAGGGCTATCTGTGCTGTGCATACCGCAGGTATCCAACTCGAAATTTTAGTGATGAGTGTGTGCGGAAGTTGAACACTAAACAGTTGGCAGTGGTTTTCTGTAATTGTTAAATAATGAACATAAATAATGAGGATATGAAAATATTTAGTATAAGATATTTTTAAGAATATTAAAAGGAAAGGTCGTGTATTCTATCGTTATTATTATGCACGTTCGATCAGACATTATTTGTCCAACAGATGGCGACGGGACCTTCTAGTCCATCAGTTCACAGTTAGAGACGGCTATGTTCAGTTGGCTCTTGTGTGAAGTTCTGGTCAACAAATGTTCTTAGGCGGCGGAGTGGGAGGTGGGTGGCTGGTGACATGTGGTCCCTCAATGTTTTGCAGAGTAGTAAAGTGACCCTCTTCGAAAACTGAAAATATAATAAGATCGTTAAAACAGCATATAGAGCCTAAAGATGTAAGACGGGTTGTAGTTGACATCATTTTTACCAACTGAAAATATAATAATGTCGTTAAAACAGCATATAGAGCCTAAAGATGTATGGCGGGTTGTAGTTGCCATCATTTTTACTAACTGAAAATATAATAATGTCGTTAAAACAGCATATTAGAGCCTAAAGATGTATGGCGGGTTGTAGTTGCCATCATTTTTACCAACTGAAAATATAATAATGTCGTTAAAACAGCATATAGAGCCTAAAGATGTAAGGCGGGTTGTAGTTGTCATCATTTTTACTAGTTCGATTTAAATTAAGATTTTTCCTCAACAAATCAGTAACAACACGAAAAGTGCCCTTCTAACTTCAAAATGCTTCTTTCGCCTGTATAAATTTTATATAAAACAAACTAGTATCCTATGTTAATTTATATATATGTGTGTGTGTCAATTTATTTGTCCGTGAACTCCTCCCACAGTTCTGGAGCTAGAATGACCAAATTTGTTAAGTGGAGTCGCGATGACCTGGAAAATGACCTTTTTTATATGATGTAACCCCTGGGAATAGGTGTGGAGGGTTGTTGCCCCCCCCCTCGGGACACCATTTTTGAAAATGTGTAATACCCATAGTCACAGGCACCAATATTGTCCTAATGTTTGTTGTTGTTGTTAATGCCCATAGTCACAGGCACCAAGATTGTCCTAATATTCGTTGTTGTTGTTAATACCCATAGTCACAGGCACCAAGATTGTCTTAATGTTCGTCGTTATTGTTAATACCCATAGTCACAGGCACCAAGATTGTCCTAATGTTTGTTGTTGCTGTTAATACCCATAGTCACAGGCACCAAGATTGTTCTAATATTCGTTGTTGTTGTTAATACCCATAGTCACAGGCACCAAGATTGTCCTAATGTTCGTTGTTGTTGTTAATACCCACAGTCACAGGCACCAAGATTGTCCTAATGTTTGTTGTTGTTGTTGTTAATGCCCATAGTCACAGGCGCCAGGATTGTCCTAATATTCGTTGTTGTTGTAAATACACACAGTCACAGGCACCAAGATTGTCCTAATGTTTGTTGTTGTTAGTAACCACAGTCACGCGTTAGCGGCGCCAAGATTGTCCTAGTATTTGTTGTAGATTTTAATACCCACAATCACGCGTTACCGTTTCAAGGTTTCCTAATGTTTGTTGTTGTTGTTAATACCAACAGTCACGCACGCGTTAGCGGCGCCAAGATTGTCCTAATATTTGTTGTAGATTTTAATACCCACAGTCACGCGTTAGCGGCGCCAAGATTGTCCTAATGTTTGTTGTCCTGTAAACCATAAAGGGACTTTTGAACTCTCGCGGCAGAGCGTGAGTATTTTATGCTAGTGGATTAGAACTTCTTAGATCCAACCATCCATAACTAGTAGCAAGTGCAATTAAAGAAAGTTGTTGATATCCAAATATTTGTGTTGTGTTTTTGTTACGTAGGTTATCTAACTACATTAACCTATACCAGATCCATCTCTTCATTCTTATATACAACTAAACTTCTTAATGCTATTAAAATATGAAGTCGTGAAATGATCGCGAAACTTTTAGAAGCTACTTTTACGAGATCAAACTTCAATAAGCTTTTTCACCAACTTTTATGTTTTGACAAATTTAATAATGTCAAACATGTTAAATTAATACACACGATCAACTTTCTTCTTGTAACTTCGTGTATTTCTTGTTACTTATACGTTTCTGTTTTCTATTATTTTAATAAACAAAACGATCTAATTTGTCCATACCAATAATTCACTTGTTCTTTCTTACGCTTTATACGAGAAGAAAACAGTATATGAAACTATATTAAATCATCGACGTTTAAAAGCATGATTTATATAAGTGTATAAGTTACTATATTATCGTATTGAAATAACTGCAAAACAAAACAAAAAACAGCATCAACACACTGAAACGACTCAATATGTTTTTATAATAATTTATTCATATATAAATACTAGATTTTACATAAAAACGGGAACGTTAAATACCTTGTATTTCTATAAGAATGAAGAGATGGATCTGGTATAGGTTAATGTAGTTATATATGAATGAAGAGATGGATCTGGTATAGGTTAATGTAGTTGTATAAGAATGAAGAAATGGATGTGGTATAGGTTAATGTAGTTATATAAGAATGAAGAGATGGATGTGGTATAGGTTAATGTAGTTATATAAGAATGAAGAGATGGATCTGGTATAGGATAATGTAGTTAATATATGAATGAAGAGATGGATCTGGTATAGGTTAATGTAGTTGTATAAGAATGAAGAGATGGATGTGGTATAGGTTAATGTAGTTATATATGAATGAAGATATGGATCTGGTATAGGTTAATGTAGTTGTATAAGAATGAAGAGATAGATGTGGTATAGGTTAATGTAGTTATATAAGAATGAAGAGATGGATGTGGTATAGGTTAATGTAGTTATATAAGAATGAAGAGATGGATCTGGTATAGGTTAATGTAGTTATATAAGAATGAAGAGATGGATCTGGTACAAGTTAATGTAGTTATATAAGAATGAAGAGATGGATCTGGTATAGGTTAATGTAGTTATATAAGAATGAAGAGATGGATGTGGTATAGGTTAATGTAGTTATATAAGAATGAAGAGATGGATCTGTTACAGGTTAATGTAGTTATATAAGAATGAAGAGATGGATGTGGTATAGGTT